GCAAAAAACAATTCATCGGCGTTAGGGAATGTTGCTGGACCGTTTAGATTGCCGTCACACGGAGAATCTCGTTAGCCGAACAAGAGAATCCCTCCAACGACAGGGAAGCCGAAATTGGCCTCAGAGTTGATTTTGTCAGTCTGATACGTTGGAGGGGACGGGGGGGTAAAATAAAGGCCGTGAAAGCTGTTCCCATGCTAGCGGACATTTCGATCAGATGTGGTTATGCAACCCCACCTGAAGCAAACAAACCAGAGCCACATGTGATACAGGAAAGTGGTAACAGGGGTTTTTTACAGGTGGGGCCAGGTAACGCACAGGTGACGATGTAAAGTAGTTCTATGCAAAAGAGAAGCTATTTGGAATGCATAGTTGTGCTTTGAGTGGTTGAGAAGTAGTTGCCCTAACACCTAACCCTTACACTAACCTCTAACCTCTAACCCTAACCTCTTACCCTAACTCCCAAACCAAGCCCCTAACGCTAGCTCCTAACCCAACCCCAACCGTTTTGTGTCTATTAGGTGGGGCTACATAACCACATCTTACCCAAAGACGTTTTCGGGAGTCAAAAACAACGTTCAGAAACGTTAAATACTTCTAACGCCAAGAGTCAGCTCTCTGGTCTAATGATCATGCGCCTCTACTGGTATAATCATTATGTTCTGTGATGCTGCCCATTTACACATTGAGGAAGTTCAAGTCGGCAAACGTGCGTTTTCCATCATTCTTTACCAGCCGAGTACATTAATATATGTAAAGCTACAGCAGCGAAATTTGAGAGGTAGAACAAGTTTATGAACAGCAGTCATAACTTGGGGCTAATATGTTCAGACTTGTAGGCCGCGGGATAATTATAGTCTAGTTTATGCCAGTAGTACGGGAAGGGGTGGGGTAATCTGACTAAGTTGTGATCGTGTTTCGTCGCTGTGGCGCGGAAATTTCAAGATTCAGTTTTGGCCAGGGTAATAGGAGGGCTTTAATGAAGGCCCTCTGCGAGCATAAGGCTGGATTCGTTAGTCGTATGGCCACTGCCTGCGCTGTCGAAAGTATCCGCTGACGTAGGGACTCGGAGTGCCTTTACGGCACTTCATATATGACACGGAATGCTTGATTGACGTCTACCTGGCGGCTGGTGTCAAACAAATGAGCCACAATGGCGCCAGAAATGGACTTTTCATCGCTTTGATATAGCCAGGCAGGATGTGCTCTCACATCCCCTTGGACAGACGCCTTGTTGTTCAACCAATATAACCTGCTCTACAGAAACAATTGAACACCTAGATGTATATTGAGGAGGCCTGAGATGGCAGCATATCCTTGTCTTCGAGGTGGAGAGACGGGATGCTAGAGAAAATTAGTCTTGTACTAGCGGCATGGTACGTGCGGGCAATAGCGGAGTTTCGACGACGCTGTGGAATGCCACAGGCCGAGTGTCCTCAAAATGGCAACGTGAAAAATTATTCTACCACAACCACCACCACCACCACCACCATCGTGGACCTTCATCGCCGTCGTCATTATGAATATGAGCAAACAAATGCCAAAGTAAATTAAAAACTAAGACATGAGTAGACAGTCGGAATATGAAGAATTAAAGTTGAAGTTTATTTGGCCCTTCTTTCCGTGTGTCTACGTCTTGAATAGGGGAGAAGCGGTAGGGAAGTCTACCGAGGGGTTTCGATTAGCGCAGTCGGATAGAAGATGCGATGGAACGCACGCATGGCCAGACGAAAATGCCTGCTGCTAGCGGAATACATTGGACTGGATGGAACTCATTCTGCGGGGTTCACCCAGCGACCTATACAATAGT